GAAGCCACTCAAGTGGATACCGATACTGTGTACGGCTCAAGTGATAATGAAAGAGAGGACCAGCTGATGTAGAAGGAGACGCATTTACTTTGCACGGTGACGGTGCTCGGTGCAGTTTTTGCCTTCTTGCCTTGATCGTTTCCAACTCAGAACAGCTCCCCACCAAATGCCTGCTGGCCTTTCTAGGCGCAACTCCCAGAGAGAGCCTTAGTGAGTGCGGTGGCTAGGTTTTATAGGGCGAATTGAAGCCGACTTAATGGGGTGGTACTCATGAGCAGTAGATTTCCGTGGTACAGTGGTCATCGCTGTACCGATGGCGTTGTCAACACGGCAGAACAAGGAGGTCCTATTCTAGGAGAAAATAAAAACGCTGCAGACGTTTCGCTCTGTTATGATAGTCTATACCTAAAAATGAAGACCTCTTAGTTGTGGTCGGCCAGTTTCGGTATGGGTCGGCACGGCAGTCAGTAAACTGGATGCGCCAATTCATATTGTTCTATGCCGTCGTACAATTTTCGGTTATGGCGGAGAAATGTATTGGCAGCCAGAATCCCGCGTCAGTGTTGAGAACAAAATAAAATCGATAAAAAAAAATGTGAGAAGTTATTCCGACCGTCGTCGCACAGACCGAATTCCGCAACCACTCTGTAATCTAATGTTGCTGCAATATCGAGTGCTCATTGTGTCACATGTGTGTCGATCTTCGCATTGGCACTATTACTGTATACCTGTGCACGACAAATCTTCCGCAAGGAAAAGCGATTAAAAGAACGTTGTACTTTTACGTGATACACGCTAGGTATCATACGTTCCCTTAAACAACGACAACAACAATTGTACTGTGTTTGTTTTCTGGGCAGTCGAAAATGCAAAAGGTCCATTTTGTCAAATGGTTAAGCGTTGGCTCTACCTTTTCTCATAGTGCGTGGGTTAAAATATTGTCGAAGGAAACATTGTGAGGTAGTGCAATGTATCGTTAGCGGGAGCGCTAATTGCTAGTCTCTTTTAACCGGAAGCTTGGCCATTCAAACTATTATATCGACCATTAAATAGAACTGTTAAAAGAACCAGTCTGTTGCTCCCGATGAAGCCTTTGGCCGACATTACATACACCTGGCTGGTTATTTTTGAATTGTTATTATATTCAGCGCCTGTGATGGCGGGGAACGATGCTGAGAATAGCAGTTCTGAGGCGTTGCTTTTCGACACCCACAAGCATCTTGCTGACTTTGCTGGTCAATAGTGCGAATGTTAAGATGTTGATAATGCACAGATCTCGGAAAGGGTTTAGATATACGAAGCAAAAATGAGATATTTATAAAATATATTGAGCGCTCCTCGAAAATAATAGAGCTCATGCCTATTTCTCCTACGAATCGCCCCTTTTCCCATTTGGGGTCTACGTAATGCCTCTTCAAGACTACAAACCGCATTGACGGAATGTCATTGACAGTGGAGTCAGCAGGACCTTCTGACGTTTAACTACGCGATTTAATTAAACCACGACATGATTTTTAGCTCTCTAAATGTTGAGTGGTCGTTATCACTGTGCCATAAGAAATGAGTAAAGAAATTAAAATTAGTTTTAATACAATCAGGACACAATTAAAATTGAACTATTTCAACAACTTTCAGTTTGGCTATGAGCACTGATTCATCGCAGACAGGGCTCTAAAGGCGCCGAAGTCGAAACGATACGAAGTCCATTACCTAAAAAGTAGACACGCGTGAACTTAAAGCTCACCTGTTATATATATAAGCGCGCTCGCACAGTGTCTCAATGCTAAGTCAACGTTGTTTTCAATATGACAACTTCGTAGATACATTGAGCATCCTATCGAAAAGCAAGCAATGGCAAAGGTCGCCACATCCGCTAGGTGGCACGCTATAATCGTTGCTAGTACCTGGATGGGTGGTTGTTTTCATAAGTAACGGTTCCTTTTTCCTTAATTCATTTTCTATTTATCAATAAGTACTATTCGTTTTAAAGGCGATACTTAATTTGTAAAATAAAGTGCAGTAGCGTCTAAGTGATGGCGTAGATTTTACGTTCTGATGCGTAAAATGAACCGCGTTGACTTATTGTTATGTGTACGCATGCAGTCTGTTGGAGGTACGATACTTATGGGTGTTCAATATATTATTATATTATAATTATTATTTACGAAGCTCGTTTGATGTGCAATTAGTTGTGTCGTTTTGGGCGTTGTGTTTGGCTTTTGTAATAGTAAATGATAAATATATATATATATATATGGAAACAACGAACTACTGCAGGCCTGTATTCTCCACGTACATTCCATAGCATTGTGCGCACGAATATGTAGGGCTAATGTTAGGATCTTCCTGAGAACTTAGATCATCTCATCAAGGTAGCCGAGCTGACCTAACTAAATCCAGCAAATCTGAAGGTATCCATGAGGCCAGTACCAGAGAGCGGGGTTTCTTCTGTCCCCTCGATGACAACGAAGCTCTTAAGATAGTCGTATGGTTGATAGCAAAGTAATGCAATCGCCTCGTAAAGTTACGGCTAATACGGCCGTCTTTCGAGTAGGGAAGTAGACTTTCCATACCGAGCTCGTTCAGTACACGACCCCAACTGGCGATTCACCTATGCTCCATTTTCAACCGCGGAGAGTTATACCCGCGAAAAGGCAGGCTATAGAGGATGGGGTTCAAAGGGTGATGCTCAACGGCGTCATCAAACACTCATCCAGCACGTCATCTTCTCCAACAGTAAGTTTCTGCGTTGACCATCACAAACTGAACTCTATTACAAAGCGAAGCATATAGCCGCTACCGCGCTCGCTTCCTCAACACTTCGCACCTGCAAATCAGCATGCACTCGAACGACAAAGAGTAGATGGAATTCTGCACACTGAGGGGGCCCCACCAGTTCCGACAGATGCCATTTAGTCTCACCAACGCACCGGCAACATTTTAAAGGCTAATGGATAAAATCGCCAGATACTCTCGTTTTCTTCGATGATATCATACCCTACTCACCTGACTTCGCCATTCACATAACTTACCTGTAGAAGGTATTTGCGCTATCGACTTCTCCAGTTGAAAGCGATCCCATGAAGGTAGTGTATTCGGGTCATGGGGTTACGATTGCCGGGCTTTCTTCGAATCCTGAGACCGAATGCTTGGGCGTAATATAAAAGTCAAAAAATCCTGACTGTACTTGTATGGGTGAGACTTCAAGGTTGTTACCGTCAGCATTGCATTAAGGTACTTAAAAGGGAAAGCGAGCCTTTTTTTAAAACTAACACGCTGCAGTCTGATTTTACAAAAGTATAACTTCGAGATTGTCAACAGGAAGGGTTCCGTTATTGTCAATGCGGACGCGTTGGTTTAGGCTGCCCTTGGACAAAATTCGTCGGGCGCACCGGGTGAGGACCATCACTTGCCTAAGAAAACTGCCGCATTAGAAAGAAGGTCTTGCTTGCCAGCGTACGTGCTCAAGGATGGTTTGGTCTACAGAGACAAAGAAAGGGAAACGCTGCTTTATGTTTTATCGTCCCACGTGAAATAAAAGCTATCACCCTATTCCACTCGGGTGGGATGGCAGAACCTGTCGTCAGGCCGAAACCCTGTAATGGGTAAAGGAGCGCTACTTTATTGAAGCCGAGATAGCGATGCTGGTCTGAGGGGTGCTGGCCCAGTGTGAGTACTGCAAGCGCCGTAACTGAATGTTGAAGCGGTGTGATGCCCTGAACCTGGTGCCAGCTTCGGAAAGCCCTATTGAGAACCTGGGAATAGATTTTATAGGCTCCTTACAAGTGCCAGGGGACAAGACTTTCAGTCTTGTCCCCTGGCACTTGTATTATTGCACCCGTTTTGATCAGTTCGGGAAGGGACGTCGAATGCCGTGACCCGAACACCGGAAGTTGCGCAGTGCTCCTTCAAGGGCTTTGACGACATCGTGACGAACAACGTGACCTGTTTCACATCGTGGGGGGGAGGGTGGAGATTGCTTCGGGCGGAAGCGCATCAGGCACATCAGGACGATTGTAGGACACTTACAATGAAACGGGCTAGTTAAGCGTGTGGCTCTAACGGTCACAGAAGGGCTGGGGTCTCTAGTGGCAGAAGGAGACAGCTCGTTTCAGAACTTGCTTCAACGCACTTATAAGGAAGAACTTAAAGAGTATGCCCTTCGAATCACTTCTTACTTATTGGGCCGTACTGCCCAAAGAAGCTTCTAGCCGCGGAAATGCTGAAAGGCGAGATGCTGCGGAGTTGCGCCGGAACGCGCACAGATTGCTCCGGAACCGGCAACATCACACGAAAATCTGCTCGACAAAGGTACTAATGAAGGTCGAATGGGCAACGCAGAGATTCTCCAACAAGTTGCAGCTGCACTATAACGAACCGCTTACTATCATGAGTTAGATGGCTTAAACACATCGATCCTATAGCGATACCCTGCAATTAGCAGCTGACTCTGAATGAGAAGAATATACGGCGGTACATTAGGAGTTAAACTTCGGTGGTACTGCTGAATATAAAAATGCGTGCCACGAACATCGTTCATAGAATATTTCTTAGGTAAAAGCGGCCCAAATGTATAAGGAGTTTCTTGAGACCAAATAGATCGCCAAAAACAGCATTGTTATTTGCAGCAATATATATACTACGTACATGATGGTTGAAAGATGAATGTCTAAGACGATGTAACAAAGTGCGCATCGAACAAATGGGAATCTTATAACATAGACATTGAATATCACATACATTTTATAATATAGACACGCATTGAATATCTATAACTATTATTAATATAATATAGATTGTGGCTAATTATGGAGTTCTCGGCCGTTGATCGAGACTCCGTAGTAACGTGTGTATCTGCGCCAAATTGTAGGCTCCTAGGCTTAATATTAATAAATAGAGTAGAATAAGGACCTATGAAACCAACCTCGTTGTAATAGCATTTATATAACAAAGCAAAACGTTGGTGCTTACGACATATGTTGCTTTTGCTTTAACTCCAGGTATCTACACTATACCATGATGCCTCAATTGGTAACGCGATCAACGTGGTCCTCGTCAAAATCATTCTTTTGGAAAGCAAAGAACAAGAAAAGGTACGATTATGAATTAATGGCTCAGTCTGGAATGGTTCGATACGTAACAAGTAAAACACAGTGAAGATCCGATTTGAAATCTCTCGCCGAAACCTCTAGGGCCAGTTTTTTCATTAACCAGCTAACTCGCCAAGAGTCCTAAGCATCTGCCTATAGACAGCATATAATGAAAAAGTAAGGCAATATTGTAGTAATATGAACGAATTGTCGTTATCCATGGGCCACTATTATCAGTCATCTTGTGTTTGTGTTTGTTTGCACCTAGAATAATATCGTTTCGGCTTCTTTTCCCGCAGATGTCACAGGATGAAGAAATTTTATCGTCTGTAAGCGACGAGGCCGAGTTGACCCTGAAGAGTTTCTGCAAATGGCAGAGATTCGTCAACCCATCGGATGAAAGCCACCCGAATCACCACGATGTTGCTGTTCTCGTCACCAGGTGCGAATTAAATAAATAATACAATACTGTATACATGTGAGGGTAAGAGGGCTTGAAGTCAGAGAAGTGTAGGTAAATTATAGGCCTATCATCGAGTAGAAGGAAGTCTGCAATATGTAAAAAAGTAGGTTTACTCTGAGCAAAAGAAATGCTGCTTGAACTGCAAGACTACCTGATGTAAAAGGTTATTCTTAGACTTTTGTGCTACTTATGCTGTAGTTCGAGATTACTCAAATTGTTAAATTCATTATTTTTCCTTTAAACCTATTTCTATTAAAGCCATTTCTCTACAAGTAGTAAAACAGTAACAGATTTTACACCAGACTAGTAACAATTTCATATAGAAATCAAAGAATCATTTTATTTAGTCGAAGTAAATTCCATGGACAAAGTGTTACAGCCTATATAGGAAGGTCAAATCTCTCCGATGAAAACGTAACCTGATTAGGTTACACCAAATGTCCGCTGACTTTGTTCAAACTGTCCGCACTAAAAAGCGCATCGTGTCGTCCATGGTTTCAATATACAACAACTCCGTGAACTCCGTGTGTCATTTGTTTCCAGCTATTATACAAAAGCTCTGAGTACTTTCAAAACTTTACCTGGTTATGTTGACTCTGCAACTGAACAATTAATAGGAAATAGCATAAGAAGAGCTGTGCTCTTACGGCTCGACTCGTGTCAATTGGCTCAGCCGTGTTAGTTATTCGATAAAAACAGTAGCTTCCGTTGAACGGTCCAACCCGCCCTTATGAGTCAGCGCATCGTGAAGTCTATTCGCGCCTTCAATTGCATCGACTAAACTTAGCCGAAGTTCAGAACTAATGCTACAATAACACTAGCCATTCTGCCTCCATTTTATTTTCGGGGAAGGTGGAAAGGAACGTTTTATTAGACGGCACCCACATCTTGCGATCTAGAGAGCATATTTGTCCTCGGTTTTCTAAAAGCAAACGAAGAAAGAGACTCATGTTGAGCTAAAAATGCGGAGCAAACGTGCCCACGGTATGGAGAGTCGGACTTCCTTTCCAAAGACATATTGCACACAGAAGCACTGTTAAAGTGCTGTTTACTAGAGCCGCGAACGTAGAGCTCAATGGGAGTGATGCGTTGACTGGGTACTATGACCGGCTACTTATCTCGCGAGATAGAGACAGCGTCTAAACGAAAACCCGACGGTGGTGGTGTGCCGCCCCGAAGAAGCCATCCGTCAGTGGATGCCTGGGGAAAATAATCCCAGAAGACTTGGCCGGGAGCCTAAATGGCCTGGCGGTTGGGTTCCAGCGATCCCCGAACCTCGCACACTGTGCGCGCTTCACGCCCCCCTCAACCGCGTTGGTTCGCCAGGCCTCGTCTATAGACCAGTTTGAGGATGGCCCGGTTGGCTAGTACTGTCCCCGCTAGTGTCTGACTTGCTTCCACATAGGTTTTCCTGTCGTACGCCACGAGTAAGCTAGCCAGCAAGGCCTGCTCTCTTTATAGTAGAGAGTAAAGGAAAAAGATCCTCTGTGCTATATGGGTTAAGTCCGAACCAGGCTAAAGCTCAGCTTATGCGAAGTGTATTAAGGCTGGCGTCGCCAGTAACGCGTCTGGCGTCCAGCAGCTGATCGTAACTAACGAAGCGCAGGTGGAAGCAAAGACTTTTCTCTATTGCTCCAGAGTGCTCCTCTGACCGTAGGGCAGCGTTTGTATACGCACAGACAGAACTTGAGTGTTGATGGGCACCGAATCTAGGAGCGGTTTAGCAGACATGTCCACCCTCACTGTTTCTATTATTGAAAGAGGCAAGATATGATAGAATGTATTCAATCACCCCATATGACCGAGTTTTTGCATACATTAGCTGGGTTCCTGCCGCCCCAGCATGTCGGATCCCTGCGAAGTTCGTACGCTTTATACTGTGTAAACCTCGAAAATGCAGGACGAAATAAATATATTGTGAAATCGCACATTTATTTCTCCTTCAGTATCGGGAGTTTTATTGTGACATTTCTGTGCGGCATGCGTCGTCACGCAAAAGCAATGTAAATCATATATTCGCTAATTCGATGCCTTGCTCTGTGTAAAGAAATTATGTACAAGATTGGCTTTCTTTTTCAAGCTAGTAATTATTTTTTGTTACGTTCGGTTCCTTTCTGACAATGAAATAGTGCGTACTTTGGTACAGTGTACCAAAGTACGCACTATGAAAGTGCATGCTTGATGCTAGCAAGAAGTAAATCATTCGAAGCGAGCCAGAGGCTTGTTGTTCAATCTCCGAAGAGTGAGTCGATAGACTCACTCTTCGGCTAGACGTACCAAGCCAGAATAAGCTGCGTTCTCGGAGTGGCTTTCCAAAGAACTTTACCGGGCCGCTCTTTGTCTGTATGATATTTGCGTGCCACTTCGTAGAACTTTTCTTAGTAACAATAGCAATTGTCGTCGTCAGTTATGTTGCCGGTACAATTGTATTGCGCAATTTGCTGGCACTGGCTAAGGCGGATTTAAAAATGAGAGGTTTGAAAAGGATTGCTTTATAAACAATCACGAGACCTTGGATTCGTTTGGTTGCCTCTTGATTACTCAATTTGGACCAGGTCATAATGTCCCTCGACTTAACTACCTTTGAGGAAATGAATCCGAATTTTTTATTCACACAGATTGTATACACACATCATAGCTCGAGCTTGTAACAACGACTTCAGCTGCCTTTCAACCAGAAACTTAGCCAGCCGAAGCTGCAGTCGAAATCCATATTCGTTCGATTCTCCACTGTGAAATTGTACGGTATAAGTTTCCACGCTGTATGCAAGGTTGTAGATATTTTATTGCTTGAAATAAGGGCTGGAGAAGTTTCCTCTTTACGAATTCATGTGAACACTGTTATCCGCTATGTGGCGTCTTCTAGAACTGTTTGTATTCGACTCGTGTTCCCGTGCTAGACTACAGCTCATTATCTTAAGGGCAATGTTACTTCATTAGAGAGGCGTCCTGAGGTACCTTTGCAGTTCGCTACGGTCGTATTTGGATTGTCAAAGACAAGCATCTTCGTGCGCAGTCCCATATCGGAGTGTTATAGCACTTCTATTTCTTGTTTGTGTCAATACTGTGGGAGACTGCAGGCAGCTTTTACAGCATCAGCGCGCACAGATATGGTTTGCCTTTTTTTATTTGAGCTTTCTATAGAAACTATCTGTAAGCTCAAATTACGCTTAAATAGTTTCCAAAAGTAATTGTCATTCTTAACTTCTTTTCCAGTCCAGTCTCGTGTGCGTTTCCTTTTTTCTGCTGTTACAATTTTGTATACTTACCTTGGCTCTAATTTGTCAAAACTTTCTTACTCCCTCTAACCAGATTGGCAGATCGAGGAAAATCTTTTAATCGTTAGATATTGCATATGGTCGACATATTTTTTTGACCTCTAAAAGAGAAGACGCTTACGTCAGCGCTACATCAGTCTCAGTAGTGAACCAAACATAAAAATTATCATCCATTTATTGTTTACACAGAGTATCTGAGCATATTTGTATAGTATTGAGAAACTGGTATTTCAGTGAATTATCTTGGGGTTTTTCTCTGTGAACAACTACGCTAATATCTAAAAGGTTTGATCTTAAGCAACTTCTTTACTAGTCCTACCATAGAAATCTCTAAGGTAGAATATGTATAGCACTTTTTCCTCCCCACTTTTGCCTCTTATAAGGACACATGACATTGGTAAACCATTGACCTTTCTCCCATTACTTTAAACGCCGAACGAACAGTGCTATGCCGAAATTGGTGTCGACATCAGTTATCTTACCTGCATCAAGGTAGTCATATTTGCCATATACGTTACTATCAGGAAGCTCCAAAATATCTTCAAGTTCTGCAGCAGGATGCTTGTATGACAGTGCCCGGACCATAAGTAGAGCTACCGAGACCACCCTTCATCCTCCACATGTGCTTACAGCACCCGGATCCTTATGTTGTTTCATTGGAAGTTTATTGTTCTCATTAACCTGCGTCATGGAGGATGCTCCTATAGTTGGACACAACCATAGAAGGAGCAATGACTTCCAGCGAATCCTTGCTTGGTACGTGTAACTTTTGACGCTGGGTTCAGTCAAACTCCTGCTGCCCTGGTTAGTAATTAGAAATAAGGAGCAGGAAACGCCCTGAGGATTAACTGGAGCACTAAGCTAACTGGAAATAGCAGTCACAGTTGCCGTTGCCGGTTCATATAAGTTCTGCCGGGAGGGAAAGAAAGATTGCCCAGGAGGGGTCAGCCAGTGCAAATGATGAGATGTACGCCGCGCATCTTAAGTCGTCTCCCTCCTTCCCGGACCCCATATATCCTATCATTGTCCGTGGTGCCCTAGGAACCCTCCCAAAGGTGCCCAGATTGTGTCCAAATCATGACCGCCACGCTGGCGGATCTTCTGTATTCTTCCGTGACGGCAACAACTGTACAAAGGCTCGAACTTCACATACTCTCCGTAACCTAGTACGATGTTACGGATCGGTCATAGACATTCTATAAGCTGATGCCGACCTATGCATGAGCATGGAAGCGAGTAGTGCAGTCAGGCTAGTATGCGGCGGAACAAGTTAGCATGTAGCACACAGAGATAGAAGGACGAAAGACAAACTAAGGTGAATGCCGAGACCTGGCCCATCCGCACAGTGCAGATTAAACGTAGTTATACCTATGATAAACTAACCCATAGCAGCTAGGCTACTTCGATGGGAATGAAAGGGGCACGAAAGCTACCCTGAAGATGGCCGCTACTGCGAATATGGACGGTAGCGATATTAGTGTTAATCCCATCGATAATACCTTGTTGATTATACGTTTGCGAGTAGAATTAGTGCTTCTGTATTTCATGCCGCCTTCGATTTTTTCATTGGCCTGAAACTATATTTGCAGGGTCGCATATGTCCAGCAAATATCAGTTATGAGAAATCAAGTAAGTATCTAGCATAAAAGAAGTAATATCTGTGATACATATATGCACAGACTGTATAATATTATCACATAT